AAAAAATTCTATACTATATCATATTATTAACAAACTAACAAAAGGTGAAAAATCACAAATTAGCCAAGTTAGCTAAGTTAGCTAGGTTCTTTTATCGTAAGCTTGTGTACGTTGGTTGTTCTGTTCCGGTATGGTTGCCCAGACCACCTCAAGTCGTTTGAGTAATAGAACAGCCGTTTGATGTAAAAAAAAAATAATCACAAATTAGCAATAGATAAGGCAATATTTTTGATGTGACAGTTTATTAAGAAAAATGACAAATTTTCTATCTGCGCATGACTTTTATTATATGTGTTGTGTAAATATGCTATACTATATATCATATTTATTAGACATAAAACATAACATTTTTTTCTAAATGTGAAAATAAGGAGATAAAGAGATATAAATGTCAGTGTTATAAAAAAAAAAAGAGATATAAATGTCTTTTTAATATGTAAAATATGAAACTGAATAATTATTTTAACAAAAATTGAAACAAATTAAAATTAGAAGGTAAATATGTTTATCATAGACAAAAAAAAATTATAAAAGTAATGATATTACACATACAAATGTATGTTGAGGTGAACTGGGAATCCTCTAGTCTCCTAGACATTGTTTGTAAAGGGATTTCACTCATGTCTTCTCTTCAATCACTTTTACAAAAAACTGTGACATGACATAATAGAAATGATGACATGGCTTATTACTAAATGTGATATGAGTAATTACTTTTAATGTTGATTTTTATTTTTGGTAAACTTTTTTAGAATATAGTAGTAATCATCTATCATTATTAAAATAAATGTATTCTAATATGACATTAAATATTATAAATATAAAATATTTTACAAATTTGAATATTATTTAATTCTATTTTTAATAATATTTTTATTACGAAAAAGATATTCAAAATTTAATACCATTCTTTTAAAAGCTATAAAATTTTAATCGTAATATCATTTGTTTCTTTCTAATATCTATTTTTTTTGAAATTATGTTTAGTTTTATTTGTTGATGTTTATTTCTTTTAATATCTACAACTTTGAATTTTTTTGTTAAGTTTTATTTTTTGATAATTATACAAAATTTGTATCATTTAAAAATTTTATACAATTTTATTAATATATCTTAACTAAAAGAAATGAATGAAAAATCTATCTTTGATTATAATTTAAAAATATTCATATCTATTTTTAAATATAAATTAAAATAATCGAAATGTTTATTTTACTTTAATTATGTTTAACTAAATCAAATTCTATAGTAAAATATTGGTACAAGATAATAAAATTTAAAATATTAACAAACTTTTACTCTACAATATAATTTAAATTTTATTGTTGCACATGGTGAAGAAAAACACCTAGTAATACATAATGCATCTGAGTGTATTCTAACGTTCTGTGATATGATCATGATCGAACCAGATGACAACGCTGCTGTGGTTAAGTCCGGAAGTTCAACTGAAGGCAACACATAACTGGACATGTCCAGATGGTTAGCTGAAGACAATACAAACGTAGACAAGTCCAGATGGTCAGCTGAAGAGAAGAACAATAGAAGCATGGGCCAGTCCGGATGGTCAGATGAAGAACATGGATATAAGCTTGAAGATGAAGTGTTCTAGCCATTCAAGAAGGTCCAACTCGTGAAAGATCAAAGAAGCTGAAGGAAGATGTTGGTGCTTTACTTAAGTCTGTTTGGGAACAAAAAGAAAGTTCTGGTTGAGGTTACCTTAACCACCATTCAAGAAATTTCTGGTCGAGGTTTACCATCCAGCCATACCTTCACCACAGTCCAAATCTATCCAAGTTTTAGTTGATCAACAATTAGGCAAGTAACTTCGTGTGTGTTCTTTTTCCATGTCTTTGGTTTTGTCCCACTGAATTTCCGATAGTAGGTTTTTAACGAGGCCAAAAGTTATTTCTCCTATCTCATAGTTGTTGATCCATGGTCAGCACAATTATGTTTTATTTTGAATTTTAAACTTCAGTTTGAATTGTTTGGTGTGGGAGCCTTGGTTTAAATGTTTTGTCCATATACAGTCTTCTTCCTATATATATATATATATATATATATAATTCTGGTCGAAAATAATAAGAATCTATCTATCTTTTTATTCGAAACCCCTTTCTAAAGTAGATCATTTTGTCGTTGTGTAATATCCAGCAAAAGCCTTTGAGTTCTTTAGTTTGTAACTAGTGGTATGCCGGCGCTACGCGCCGGATTCGTATATTTTATTTTCTAATGAGTACAAAATTGTTTTTAGATTTATTTGATAGTCGTTAGTGGCAATAGTGTATTACTTTATTTTGAATTTAGTTTGGTCAAAGGGGAATAGTTTAACTGGTTTCACTGATCGATTCAATAAAAATAGAATAAATAGTTGATAGTTGCACCAAAGTAAATATAGTTGAACATAAAATATAAAGTAAAGTTGATGTTCCAAAAGAAAAACATGTAAATGCATGTATTTGTTTTATGATTATCTTGTGTGATTGTTTTGATATTTGTGTTATTCACATATGTATTTCGTTTTCTTGATATTGTGTTTTTTTATGAAATGTGTTTGTTGTATTTGATAATGGCATGGATACAAAAGTATTATATTATTATGTTCCGATTCTACATGTAAGGAATAGTTACTATTCTGGTGGATATGTGTTTGATTCATAGTTGAATTATTTATACCTAACATAGTTTTAGAAGTAATTGTTATAGTTGTAGTACATAAAAGAATTTGGATTTTAAAATATTAGCTTAAGATAAAAGACAATTGACCAAATATCATTTAAAGTTTAGTCATTTATTTATAGAGATACCATTTTTAGCAGCGCTTGTTAATATTGTTTAGATTGCAAAATGCTAGATTTGCCAAGGAAATAGCAGCTGAATCCAAGAAAATCAGAGGAAGAGATATAACCACCATCAAATCCATCGATCTTGAGCTCTAGTTTTCTACCTTCTTTGTTTGATTGATTGTGTGTTCTTGGAGTTTTAAATGTGTTTGATTCTATTTGACATATAAATATTTATATGAAGATACGAATCTGATCCTTTCCCCAACGTTTATGTCTTATAAAGCTAAATGTTCAAATATAACATTCACTTTTTATGTGGGGGTACGTAAGTACACACAGTTTATAGAAATACAAAACTCAAATATAATTGATCTTGGTTACATATAATTATCATCAAATCAATGAATTTAAGAGTGTGTAGTTCTGTCGATTTTTATATATATTGTCATTCAACGCAATAGCAATCTCAGTGGCCTGGTTCCGATCCAAATAGTAGCTTCTGTCTAATCATCTGCTGGACTCGTTCATCAAATTAAAGATAATCATCAAAATAACCAAATCAGATACTTATTATTAAAAAAAAAAAATATAAAAAACATATGAAGTTATATATTATATTGAACAGATTATTTATACACTGATTCTAAACCCACTGAAATAGCAAAGCATCAAAATCCAAACCCCATCACTTTTTAATCATAGAAAGAAAAGAAACTCTAGACAGAGATAAGAGAAAGAGTTACTACACAGAGAACACCTAAACCACCACTAAGAGCATGAACAAAATGCAGAACAGAGCCTCCCTTGATGTTGTACTCTTTTGTAGTCTTGTCATCAGCTAGCTGTTTACTGGCGTAGATGAGCCTGCAAAAAATAAAATAAAAACTCTAAGAATCAGTGATACACGTAACTGCTTAAATTATAAGCTTGCAAATAGAGTATATTCAACTAATGGCAAGAACATAAGAAAAAAACATTGAAAGGAGATGCAATTTTGACTAAACTGAAAGAACTCCAACGACCTGAGACAAAAAGAAGTTTTGTAGATTCATTTTTGACTAAACCGAAAACACTAAGACATGAAAAGAAGTTTTGTAGATTCAGTTTTGACTAAACTGAAAACAACTCAAGAGACCTGAGACAAGAAGAACATAAGAGCTACAAAAATGCTCACGAGACTTCTCTAGCAGTTCATTATTTTTTAAAAGTAAAGAAGTAATTTGTTACCTTTGTTGTGCCTTCTTTCTCCTCAACACATTCCTTGATGCGATCAGTAGTGTCGGATTTATGCTGTGGCCACCGTAATTTTTGGCTCAGACCTGTAGCTTTCGTATTTTTCATGGCATGCAAGAGCGAATGAGTCCAACATGCTAACACGCACGCTTACATCCCTGCAAAGATGCAATGATATTGAGGTTCATGAGAGATCTTTGGTTCTTGTTGTATTGAAACTGAACCATCTTCATTTTCATCTTCTAAGTGATTCTTCAAGCTCAAGAGCTGGGATTCATCCTCAGGTGGTCTGATTTCGATGTTGAAAGAAAGACAGCGATGTTGTAAGGAAAGAGACCGGAGATCCATTGACACACTTCCTGGAAATCATCTTCAGGTACTAATACCCTTGAGCCAAGAATCAAGACAGGACCAGAGATTATGTTCAATAGAATCTGGAACAACTTTTAGAATCTTTCTGACTCAAGAAGCTCTCAACGTTCCTGAGGTACATGATTAGAAGATTGTTTCTGATACAGAGACCACAACCTGTAGAGAAAGACAACAATTGTGGAAACTCCATTGAAAATACTTATAAAAAGAGTTGTTTGTTACCTTGTAAAGTGGTTGCAGGAAAAGTTTCTCATTGAAGCGTAGATTTGTGCTGCGTTTGCTGGAAGCTAGAAGCCATAACAAAGACAGATGTGAACCAAACGGTCGTAAGAACGTGGAAGTGAATAAAATGTACTTAAGAAGATATAATGAAGTTCTATTTCTAAACCTGCAACAGAACTTGGAGTAGCAGAAGCATTTATATCTTAGAGAATGACTTGAGCTATTAAAACAGTTGATGTCACATGGAAACCAGGTAACGTGAAAATGAACCTTCACTGAAAAGGTCTTGTTAAGCAGCATTCTGAGGACAAATTATTAAGATTGGAAAATAGGAATCTCGTATAAGCGTTAATAGAAGATTGTGGTGATTACCTTCTGTTAAAATGGTCAGAATCGGATATATTCTGTAGGTATTATCCTTGATGTGGTTAGTAGCTTCTGGAAATCAGTTCCCTCGTTGAAGCGAATGGCGACAGGACCGTCAGAGAGTCTGTATTTTGTACTGCTGCGTGTGACGTCGAAACCGCTCATACGGTACAGTGATCCTTCAGATAAACGGGACCGGAAAGTTTGCTGTAATGAAGCAGGTACAGAGCCTTGCACCAGCATCGACTGTTTATATCAACCAATGGAAAGTATTAGCGAAGCATAAAACAAATAAAATCTAACTGTGTTTGTGTTTTTCGCAATTGTAAAAACCAACTAACAGAAGGACTTCAATAAGTATTATTTAGGAAATTAGAAAGCAACCCAAGGGAAAAGATGATTGTATGAGATTGGAAAAGAACTTACATCCTCATCGATCATCAACATCTCGATGCTCATCAGCTGATTATTTTTGTTTAGGTTCCTGGCTTCCCAGAATCGGAGGAGCCGGATCTCAGCCGAATGAGAGCATCTCCCAGCCTTCAAGTCAGCAAGTAACGTGTATGAATTAGCCATCGCTAGCTTCTTTTGGAGTTCCAGAGTTTTTAGCTTTCTTTTGTCTTGGGATTTTCATCTTAACAGGGACGGATATTTATAGTTGAGCTGCAATCGGTTTGCCAGAAAGCGAAGAGTTGCGAAGCAAACTTAAAGAGAGAGGTGTGGATTACTCGAATCTAAACTCGAAAATAAATGAAAAAGTTTAGGTGAGGGAAGGCGTTACGGTTAAGAATCGGTAAGAGTTCTCTCTGATTTCACAGAGGAATGGCATGGATGAGAAGCAGAAAAGTCGGAGAAGAAGAAAGAACTTTTTTTACAATCGTCGAACTAAACACGGTCCTGGAGCTAAAACGCGAGTTGGGCTTGAAGTTAATTACCCAGCCCAGTACGTTTGTTTTTTTATAAAAAATTCGGCCAACCAGAGGTCGACACGTGTCGAATAACCCCCTATCAACCAAAGGACGTGGCCGCTTGTGTGAGCAGATTTGTGTACTTTATTATTATAGATATCTGTAGAATTCAAAGAGGAATATCAAAGGCATTCCGCAACCTTAGTGTGACCATTCCACATCCTTGTCAGTGTCTTCCTTTGTCAGTGTTTTCCCTGAAATCATTGTAGCAAGGCTTATCTCATCTCATCTCTCAAGTGAGGATCTTAAGAGGATTATATCAATTGGTATCAGAGCACACTTGAGAAGTTGAGTATTTCTAATCTACATCATCTTCTTTGTCTTTTCATCTTCTATTCTTTGTAGATATATTTAAAATTGATAGCCTAGATTATGATGATCTAGATCTGTTGGTCGTAAAGGGTGTCGAAATTTCTTCTCCAAAACTTGATTTTTCATTTTCTGTCTTGGTTAGATCTGTTACAGAAATCTCAGAAATTTTGGATCTATTATTCTGATCATTAAGAAAACACTAGATAGTAGTTTGTTTCTGTAAGAAATCGTTACTGGTGTGTGTTTTAATCTGTTTTAAGGCAGGATGTCTGAACATGAAGAAGAACCCAGTCACAATCGAAACAACAAACTACTGCTTGAAGCTCTCACTGCAAAACTGGAGCAAATGATGGACTTGAAGATTTCACAACGTCAGCAACATTGTTCAGAGTCTGATAGTGCCAAACAAAGGAAAAGACGCGAGAGAGACCTAAGCAAATGCAAAGCACACCAAGGATTAACCAGAGATGAAGCCACTGATCATTACTATAATTCTGGATCATGCAGTAGCCTGATAAAGGTTTTTACTCCTTAATGCAAATCAATGTAGTATTTTAGATGTCAATCAAATCCTGAATGCTAATGAACAAAGAGAATGCAAGACATTATTAAATTTAAATGCAATCAAAAGAGTTGTTTTATAAGATAACAAATAATTAGCAATGTAAGTAAACAAGAGTAACTAAAACTTTGTTTCAAGGAGATAGGAGAACCTATGGGTGAGGGTATTGACTTTGGGTGATCAAGTTACTATCCAGGGTAAGGTTTCAAGCAATCATTCATATCCTATAGATCTAGACACAATCCTAATCTAGTCTTTGGTCAAGGTAAAAGCTCATTTGCTATCAATTTCTAAACACTGATATGATGCATATTTACATAGTTTTAACATTTCATTTTGTACATAAATCATCATATAGATTTAGGTTTAGGCATCTTTAGGTCCATATTGCATTCATATGTCCTTATTAGATTTGGAGTAGTGCTAATGATGATTTGGAGCCTAGAGAATCACAAAAAGTCCAAAGGAGTGAGAGTAGTGCAGTAGCAGGCAACTGTAGCAGGCTAAAGATGGCCGCGACGTCGCCGCAGGCAACCGTAGCATGATATAGATGGCCGCGACGTCGCCGCAGGCAACCGCAACAGGATATCGATGCCCGCAATGGTGTTACGACGAATTGGACAGGGAAATTTTGCAGGCTATTTCGCAGGATGTGAAGGCCGCGGCCAAAATGGGTGCATCGCAGGCTAGTTGCGCGGCCAAGAGGAGGTTGCGGCCGTGTCACGGATTTTAGCTTAATATAAATATGTATTAGACCTTAAGTGGATGATATCTTCTTTTCTCTAAAAAACACATTGAAAAAGTTGAATCCTTGATTAATATAAGCTTCGTTTCTTGAGTAATTTGAGTGTATCTCTTCTTCTAATCATGATTAGTCTTCTATCCATCTTGGGTATAAGATTAAACATGAAGATTAGTGAGTAGACTCTCTTTGAGCTTATGGATTAGGGTGATTAGGGTGATTAAGTGATGATCTAGGGTGATTAGTGTTAGATCCTTCTTGTCCTATGCTTATTATTTATTCCCAATGCTAGATTAGACCTAATCCTTCTAAACTAGATCATTAGGCATTTCTTGCCCACAAGGTGTATGATGAAATGCTTGAACCAAAGTAATAATGCTTTTTGCTTACTTAACCAAGGATACTTCATGTTAGGAAGACTTAGATAGTTAGTAGACTTGTTTTCAATGATTGCTTGATTGATTTAGACTAATGACCATTTGTGTTTAAAGATTGATAGCAAATGAGCTTTTACCTTGACCAAGGACTAGCTTAGAATTGTGTCTAGACCTATAAGATATGAATGATTGCTTGAAACATCACCCTAGATAGTAACTTGATCACCCAAAGTCAATACCCTTATCCATATGCTCTTTTATCTCATTGAAACCAAAGCTTAGTTATTCTTGTTTACATATTGATTGTTACTAGTTAATTAGAAAACAAACCCTCATTTATTGCATTTAGGTTAAGCAATGTCTTGCATTCTCTTTGTTCAATAGCTCTCAGGATTGGATTGACACTCTACTTACCTTACTACATTGATTTGCTCTAAGGCTTAAAAACCCTTATCAAATTTGGCGCCGTTGCCATTTCTGAGTTGTTTATTGACATTGAGATTTAGTCATTGCTTGAGGCTAAATCTTATTTACTTGCTTTAGTTACTGATTTCTTCTTCTGTGTATCCCTTTGATTGGTTGCAGGTGTATGAACCTAAGAAGTAGAGGAGCTGCAAACCTCTTACCTGAAGCTCAAGACATCCAAGTTCTTGAGAGAGTGTGTATAAGAAGAAGAAGAGTAGAAGAGAGGCTAGACCAACTAGAAGATTTGGGGCTAGAGATGGAAAGAAACAACAACTTACCTCAAGAGGAGGTTGTCCTTCCTCAAGAAGGCATTGGTCAAGGAGCTGCAAATCTTAGACCACACCGCCAGCCAAGAAGTATTGGTGCTTATGATGAGCCTCACATCAATGGGAGTAGGATGGGTATTAGAGCTCCAGCTGTTCAGAACACCAACTATGAGATCAAGTCCAGCCTTATCAACATGATAAGAAACAAATATCATGGTCTTGCCCTTGAAGATCCTCTAGACCATCTTGATAGCTTTGATAAGCTATGTGGGACAACAAAGATCAATGGTGTTTCTGAAGATGATTTTTGTTCCCGTTCTCTTTGGGAGACAAAGCCCACACTTGGGAGAAGAGCCTTTCAAGAGGCTCTATCACCACTTGGGATGAATGTAAGAAAGCCTTCCTCACCAAATTCTTTTCTACTTCAAGGACAGATAAGCTTCGAAATGAGATATCTAGTTTCATTCAAAAGAACCTTGAAGGCTTTGGTGAAGCATGGGAGAGGTTTAATGGCTTCATCACTCAGTGTCCTCATCATGGTTTCAGTAAGGAGAGCTTTCTTAGTACATTCTACAGGGGAGTCTTGCCAAAGTATAGGAGCATACTAGACACTGCTAGCAATGGTTTCTTCTTGGGAAGAACTGAAGCTGAAGTTTTAGAGCTTGTGGAGAACAGGGCCAAGAGTGACTCAATTTACAATGATGAGTTTGATAGAATCAATAGAGATGGTGGTGAAGACACTAGAAGGGATCTGAGGTCTCTTGAAGAAAAGATTGACAAGCTTGAGTTGCTTCTTTCACTCCCAATCAAGCAAGAGAAGGTAAACCTTGTGGGTGCTCAAGAGGATACACCTGAGTTGAATGTTGTTGAGGGTATTGAGGGAAACCAAGAGGTATGCTTCATCAATGCCAATGGATCTTGGTATAGGAAGGAACTAAACTTCCATTACCAAAATCACCAATACCAAAAGCCTCCCTACAATCCCAATTACCAAACAAACCAAAACAACCAAGCTCCTCCACCCCAAGATAACCCTTCTCCCTCTCCTATTAAAGAGGCTGACACTGAAGCCATGTTGAGAACCATCATAGAAGCTCAGCAGAGGCAAGAGAAGCATATTGGATTTGAGTTGAGAAACCTCAACACAAAGATTGATGGAGCCTGTGAAAAGCTTAACAACAAGTTTAAAGCCTTGGAGAATCAGTTCTCTTCTATGACCTCCACCTCTCAACGCCCAGGGAAAGAACATTGCAATGTTATCCTCTCCAATGCTACCCCTAAGTTTGACTTGACTGATCATAAGAGAGAGGTAGATGAGATTGAAAGACTATTGTATGGCTCTGAATTTGTGCAAGATGAGAACCAGAGTGTAGACACGGCTGATGTTCAGATTGTGGAGAAGGCTAAGGCTAANAGAACATTGCAATGTTATCCTCTCCAATGCTACCCCTAAGTTTGACTTGACTGATCATAAGAGAGAGGTAGATGAGATTGAAAGACTATTGTATGGCTCTGAATTTGTGCAAGATGAGAACCAGAGTGTAGACACGGCTGATGTTCAGATTGTGGAGAAGGCTAAGGCTAAGGTCGTGGACAGTGGTAAACTCCAAGCTGTGGAGAAAGTTGCAACCAAGGTGGATCAGAAAGATAAGGCAGAGATTGTGAAACAAGCTTCGCACAAGGCTGAGGTTCTGGTTGGTAATGAAGCTGTCCAGAAGTTGACAAAGGTTGGGATTGAAGGATCCAAAGAGTTTAAGCTTGAAGAAGACAAGGAGGTTCAGATATCTCCCTATGATAAACTCCATTTCCCAAAGAAGATCATCACCAAAGCTCAAAAGAAGGTGATCTCCAAGTTTAGGAAGGAATTGAGTGATGTTGGAATCA